GTTGACAATAACTGATAATAGTGTTTTAGAACCACTTTTAACCTGAAGGACTCGATTTCCTTAAAAAAAAACAAACAAACTGTGAAATAAAACAGGGTGGCTACTGTTTTGTATCTGTTTTTAATCTTTGAATGAAATGTACTACAGGTCACAAGAAGATACTTCAGAATAGCACAGAACCCAGTAAGGAGCCTTAAATATGAAGGCTGAAATTAAACACTGAATTCCATGAAATGTACTACAGGTTACAAGAAGATACTTCAGAATAGCACAGAACCCAGTAAGGAGCCTTAAATATGAAGGCTGAAATTAAACACTGAATTCCATAAGGTAAAAATATTCTTCTGCTTCAATTACTTGAACTTCTCCAGCTTCTTGGAAAGGCTATTGGGGACATTAAAAAATTGTTCCTTATCCAAAATCTTTGTTTTAAAAAGACCAAAACTTGTCTCTGTCCAACAGAGGAAGCAGTTAGGTATCTGGCACTGTGTACTGTACTTGACAAAGGACCATTTCTTGTGAGGATGTGGACTGTGAATCTTTAAGTCTGGATTCCAGCATGCAGACTATATTCACAATAATTCATTTTGCTTTACTTCCAGTAGAGCCCAATAGCAGAGTAGCAAGGAACAAAAAGATTTCTATGTCTGCAAGGAGAACATTTCCAAATACCAGCTTGTAGATGCTGGTACCTCATCAGGAACCAAAGAATTGCATCCTTAGTTTGAAAATTACTCTGCAATATCTGTACAACCCTTTCTCAATTTATGAATGGAGAAATCTGCCTGTTCCACAGGTCTGATAGGGTGGCCCTGCTTCAGGTCTCTTCCCTTAAATGCTGTCACCTCATGGACTTAGGATGTGTGCCTTCTCCACAGCAGGCCTTGCCCTGTGGAACAACCTTCCCCCTGAGATCCAGCAGGCCCCTACACTCCTAGCATTCTGGAAGATCTTGAAGAGCTGGCTCTTCCCATAGGTGTTGGGGTACAGTGAGACTGGAGTCCATTGCAATTGAATGTGGACATTTGAGGGTGTGTTGCCTTTGGGGCACTGAGATTCCTTCTTTTTTCTTAACAGAAAGTAAGTATCCACTCGCTATTTCTTCTCTTCTTTTAATTCTG